GCAGAGAGATGACCTCTATTCGCACAGACAATGAATGTGGCCTCACACATTATAGCACTGAGAATGGAGTGGTGGTGGTGGGGGGGTTGGGGGGAACTACCACCTCAAAACCCCTCCTCTGCAATCTCTCCAAGGAGACATGCAATTACTGAACCATGGCAACAGATTTAAACTTTGACTTGGGTTTAAGTATGTGCTTAACATGTAAAAAACCTAGCATGCATTCAGATAGGAGCAGCAGGGACTGCATTGCCTCGGCAGCTGCAGTTATCTAGGTGTGCTGTCATTTTAAACAGCAGGCTTTAGTAGGGTGGTAACGTGGTGCAGCCTTGCGCTACAGCGGTGACTCAGACTAACTGTGAGAACTGTGGGGAGAATGCAGGTTCTGGGTCTCTGAGAGGCGAAGCCGTGTTTGACTGACTTCGTCAGAGCGACTAGCTGAACCATGTTTATTTCTCCCTCTGCTTCAGGCGTGAGACACCTGCCTCAAATCAACCTGAAGCTCCCGGTGTTTCTGCAGGACGTGTGTGTGTGTGTGTGTGTGTGTGTGTGTGTGTGTGTGTGTGTGTGTGTGTGTGTATGTGTGTCTGTGTGGCCCTGAATAATGTGAAGTCTTTCTGAAAGTGATTTTTAAAACACAAAGGGAGGGGGTCACTGCCAATCAGCACTTCACACCAATGTCCAGTGTGAGCACATCAGTGAAATGTTTCACTTGGTCATCAGTGAGAGAGCTGCAAATATCACACGTGGCCTGTGAAGTGTCCAACCCTACAAGTAGGTCTGCATGTTGACTGACAGCAATATGACATGGGGAAAAGCTGTTGTACCCTGGGGCAAGATGTCTAACCTGAATTGCCTCAGTACATGTCCAGTGGTATACATGGATAACGTGTAAGCTATTTAAGTTTCTCTGGATAATGGTGTCTGGTAACCAAACAATGCAATAATTAATCTCAGCACCCTTTAATTGTCATTCACGTTCTTGTCAACACAGGTGAACACAGATGAGTCCACTGCAGTTTTGAATGACTTTTGAAACATGTATTTTCCATTGTAAGGCCCAACGTTTGCAGAAATTGCATTTAAAAGAAGCAGAATGAGCAGTGTAAACTCTGAAGAGCTTAAGGTAAATGCAGGTGCATTGTACAGGATTTTAGTTCAGAAATGGGAACTGGACTGGTATAGATCAGTAGGCATTTCAGGACTGTTAGCGGCTTACAGGAATGAACAAAATGGCATTCTTATTTACCTCAGCTCCTCAGTGGCACAGTTGGAAAAATTAATAAGGAAAGAGACGTCCCCATGTTACTTTTCATTAATCATCTCATATCAGTAATCCAAACTCTACTGCATTCATGAATATTGATTTACAATATGATTCCGTGTGAGGGAATCCAGCAAGCCGAGGTTCGTGATTACCCTGCCTCCACAGACTTGACTCTTAGCAACGGCACTGCTTCTCCTGTTGCCAAGGAAATGCTTTATGGAGTGCTGGAGACAGCGGGGCGAGTTCTCTCTGCTCAGCTGTGAAATCTCCTCCTTGCAAACACCAGTACAGCATTACTCTCTCTTTAGGAAATCCAATAGGCTGCAGTACAGGTCACTGTAGAAAAGGCTTTTACAAGCACTTCCTCAAAGACACATTAAGCTACCTGCACCCTTCCAAAAATACACTGTTTTTCACCAGACGAGCTACGACCGCAATATTGTGCTGTGTTATTAAATCGATACCTCATTGTCTAATTTTCCTGGTTATGTGCTAATAGACGGACCTCAGTCAAACTGGGCTTTTGGGGCTATAAATCGGGGACCGTGGATTACAGAGAGGTATGAATTTAGGTTTCATTTTGGAGGGAATGCCTGAAGGCAACTTTCAGGAAAAATAAAAAGTAACCTTTGAAAACAAGTTTCAAACTCCAAATGAAAATGTGAAATTTTCCTCTCCATCTTATTTCATGTACAATATTACAAGGTCATAAGACTCAGATTTAAAATGTACTTCGGAGTGTTAAAAAGTCCAACCAAATCCTTCAGAGGTTTGTACAGTAGAAATTCTTCCTTTTGCAAGTACAAATCTTATTGCCCTACACTGGTGCAAACGTACAAATGTGAATATTTTTAATTAGAGCCCTTAGGCTGTATGGATGTTGGCTTCAGAAGTATCATTAAGATAAACAGCAATAATTAGCTTTCAGTGAAGAAGCATATGACCGTGGTCATCATTGGATGATTTGTAGGTGAGTAAGGTGGTCATGCATAGTTTGTGAGGTGCATCTTAGCAGAGCAGAGAATTTAACTACACTTCAAGAAGGTATGATATCACACTAGAGTGGATTTCATTATAAAAATGCCATCTGAATCAAAACCGAACGGTACGAGCACTCAGCCATCAAATCTAATCTCATTTGGTTTAACTGATTGTGTATATTTTGACATTCTTTCTGAGCAGTGAGCTGCCATAATATCACGCAACATATTCACTGCCCCATTTATCAGGTAAAAAATGAATATTAGAACCTGAATCCAATTTTTAGGGGCCTCCTTTTCCATTTCGGACAGGCTTTGGCGCATGCTTATCAAATAGGCCTGTCACAAAGACTGAGCACTGCTGACAACACGTTAGCACTGTTGCCTCACAGCAAGAAGGTCCTGGGTTCGAATCCTGGCTGTCCCAGGTCCTTTCTGTGTGGAGTTTGCATGTTCTCCCCGTGTTTGCGTGGGTTTCCTCCGGGCGCTCCGGTTTCCTCCCACCATCAAAAGACATGCATGTAAGGGTCAATACTCCTGTCAGTGCCCCTGACCAAGGCACTGGCAAAATGAACTGGAGGTGGTCCCTGGGCGCTGCACTGTGGCTGCCCACTGCTCCTGGCTCCTGGTGTGTGTGTGTGCTCACTGCTGGTGTGTGTGTGTGTGTGTGCTCACAGCTCACTGTGTGTGTAGGATGGGTCAAATGCAGAGGATGAATTTCCCCATGAGGGATCAATAAAAGTATATGATTATATGATTATATGACTAACAGTCCAGGGAGAAGAAAATAGAGTGGAGCCAAGCCATAGCATCACAGACTGGCAGTTTATACAGGGTAGACTGGGAGTCTAACTTAACCCCCCCGAGAGACAGGAAGTTAAGAAATTGACAGCGAGGGTGTTTTAGAATAAATGATGGGAGATAGAAACAAGCCTTACTCCCCACAGACTTTGCCCTGTAATGGCTTTGACAAACATTCAACAGAGAAACATCCATCAGTTATCATGAAAGAAAGGAAAAAAAAAACTTTTGAAAAGGTCTAAAGGTAGCGCTTGAAAGCAGAAATCCCATGGCATTTTTTTGTCTCAGTGACATTAATAAATCTGTTTTAATTATCACACATAACTTGGCAGCTGTGACATTTCATTCTTCTTCACTTTTTTATTGATTTGAGTTTTACCTAATAAGGTCCTTAATTAAATAATTATGATAATAATCGTTAAAAAACTCATAAAATCACAACAACAACAACAACGACAAAAGAAAACGCCTTGAGTCTGTTGGGGTAGCTCTGTACTCTCCCTGACATGAAAGCCATGTGTCAGTTGACCTCCTTCCAGGCACTGTGGCACCCCAATTACCCTGAGGCCTCTGGTGTCCGCCTCTCACCACACCCTGCTGGGGGGGTGGGGGGCAGGGTAGAGAGAGAAACCAATGTCCGCATAGAACCCGCCCCAGAAGTGGGCTGGATTAGCCCCTCAGACACTATACTATTCTCCTCAGCCAGTCAGAGCACATGATGCTGTATTCATGTAGGGATCCATAATGGATGATTCCGCTGTCTACAGTCATCAGTCACCATCACCTGCTTCATGAATTCATGTGCTTCATTGTGTTTGTTAATTAAATGGTAAAGAGACAGAAGAAGAACACCACAGGAGAGCGACCGGGGCAACAGGTGAAAAAAAAAGTACTTTTGTTTTGCTTTAACCCTGCATGCCCTCAGATGAGGTCTACCCCGAGAGGGGCGTTCTGTTTACCTTAGCGTGTACAGGATCTTCCCATCGTTCCAGATTCGCAGCAGCTGATTGGGTGTTGTAATCCAATGGGAGTCTGCGTTTTTGGAGTTTCTGAAGATGGTGTCAGGGAGCCAGATGAGTCCGACCATATTGCTGTTCAGAGTCAAAATTTTCATTGTGCTGTTGTATCTAAGGCGGGCATCTGTCCACGTCTGGGCAAAGATGATATCAATTTGGTATTCCTACAACCAGAAAAAACAGAGCCTTCATTAACAGATAGCACTTCTTAGTGTTTATGGACAATGTACATGAGCCTAAAGACATTCATAGAATTGTCTCCCCATCTGATTCCTGTCAGTGAAATGCCTGGGAAATAACTGTAGATGACTAGATCAAATTTGTAATAAAACCAACCATTTATTAACAGGGCTCCTGAGTAGTGCTTGGCCATGGATATCAAAGAAATGAAAGAAAACACAAAATAGGCTCACTTTCACAAAAGGAATGTCTACATTCAGTTTTAATAAGTTTTTTCTGGTGCCATGTGAAATTCACTGCTATTGGCTCGTATGGAGAAACTCTTTGAAGGACACGAGTCTAAGATGTTCGATAAAAGACACATGAGCAGAGGTGCAGGTCACAGGGAACAGCCACTTGCGTCCCACACTGTCCAGACCATGAAGGACGAAACGCCTTTGATGCCGACACCATCAATAGAAGAGACAGACACTCATCACGTGGGCTGCTCTGTGGTCTTTGTGGAGCACCATTAGCTACGTGTGAGGAGCCAAAAGAGTAGAGTGAGAGTATGTGTCCTGTGGAACAGGAAGGCACACCAGCATGCCACCACTTACCTTCCAGAGACTTAGCTAAAGAGGTGAGGCTGAGAAAGAGTGTATTAGGATGTAAACTGAAGGAAGTGAAAATATGGAGCAGTGAATCCTAAGTGCACGGGCCGTGGCAGGCAGTGTCCTTCGACCTCCATCGAGGATGTCTGGATTAAATTACCGGGGCGGCAGTGTAGCATAGTGGTTAAGGAGCAGGACTCGTAACCGAAAGGTTGCTGGTTCAATCCCTGCTAGGACACTGCTGCTGTACCCTTGGGCAAGGTACTTAACCCACAATTGCCTCAGTAAAATATCCAGCTGTATAAATGGATAACATTGTAAAAGAACTGTTACCTATGTAAGTCACTTTGGATAAAAGCGTCTGCCAAATAAATAAATGTAAATGTAGTGGGGGTAAATGAAAATGGCCTTATTCCTGGAATATTCTGTAGGCCACCAGCATCAGGCAGAAACTTTAATGCTAATCTTTAAACCTGTACAGAAAAGGAAACATTTATAATGGGGGCCTTTAATTACCCCTACAAACTGGGAAAATGTATCAGGAAAGGGACTACTGTGAAGACTAAGGCAATGCTTAATGGAAGTTAGAGATGATTCTGTTTGTTTCCTTCCTGGGCAGGAGGAATTTGTATCTTACAGAGTTATTTTGGAATAATCCTAAAAGAGTTTACACTTACATTTTTTAAACCACTTGGAGATAAGTGACCATATGTCCATAATTGCAATACTTTGCAAAGTCAAAGCCACCTAATCTAACACTACAGATCTTAGATTTAGATGCAGAGATTTTTAGTGAGGTGAGAGAAAATCTGAGCATCTATTAGTGAACAGCATTAATTGAGCTGTGAACAAATCTTTCAAAAGCAATAAAATTTTAAAGTAATAAGAAGTATTTGCAATGTTCAGCATACAGAAATTCCAAAGCTGAGGTAAAACAACTCAAGTGCAGATGTCCCTACAGTGGATAAATAAGTAAAAAAGTTTAAAAGTAACTTCACTAAGTACATGAAAAGACAGCCCAGAGAATAATAAATTGTAAAATATGCTCCAAGGCTAAAAAAAAGTGATGAGTTGCCACAAGGCTTTTTTTGAAAAGCAAATTGCCCAGTATGCAAAAAACAACAATCCTGAAAACATTTTTTCACTCAGCACCTTATCAATAAAAAATGAAAGCAGGGGAACATATCAGGTGCATTAAAAATGGGGAGTGTGTGCATCTTTATAAAAGCAAACAAAAACACACTGCACACAGTAACCAAGATAAATTATAAAGCAATGACAGAACTATATAAAAACTGAAATAACACATTCGATCACACTAGAGAATTACAGCCCACTTACAGTAATCTAACATGCATTTAAATGCATAGTGTATGTTTGAAGCTATCGTAGTGATAATTTAGGGGGGGGGCTCATTCAATGAGAAAAACCGCATTATGGGACAGAGCAAGAATGGATTCTTCAAGTGAACTTGCTTAACAAATCTCCTGTTACAAAAATGATTGGTTCACACCAGGCTTATAACAATGTTTATTAGGGTTTTCTAAAAGTCTCTGACAATGTGTCACAATATGTGACTCATTAATAAACTAAAATCTGTGAGGATTAAAGGAGATGTCTACCAATTGATTTAACATTTACTTCAGCATAGAGCACAAAGGCATACGGTAAAGATATAAACCAGGTAAGCACAGCAGGGAGTTCACCAAGCATCAGCGCAGACCTCTGCTTATGTTTAAATGAATAAATGTACACATTACTTTGAGTAACTTGTGTGTTAAAGGCTAAACTACTGTAATTGGTATGTTGAAGGCTAAACTACTGTAAAGTGCTGTCTGTAGTTTTTAACAGCCAGCGATGTCTAAACTGGTGAGGCATTAGAGCCAAATGGAGTCTGTCGATGATGGAGTGTGATCTGGGAGACCACGAGCGGAGACACCTCACTGAGATTGGGACATTATCTCGCTGCGTCTTTGCGAGCATTTTCACGATGCCAGTCAAACTGCATCAGAAATAGCAGGCCGCAAACAACCAACACCATCATCCAGTGACTGTTAAAATGATGAAATCCATTACAGCTACTATCTGTTTCAACTACAACTCCATATACAGCCCACTGATTCGTTTATGATTATTTGTTATCTTGATTTTTATATTACTTGTATGATTACATTGCTGTCTGTAAGAATAGTGTTTTCTCTTAGATGCTATATATTGCTTTCAAGCAAAGATAATAATGCAGGATGCTGTACTAAAAAACATGGATGGCAAAGGTACAAAGAGGAGGAAGTGGACCTTTCAGTAACAACCTTTCACAAATGCTAGCTACATATTTTATCAGGGAGAGTGGAGGTTATAAAAAGATACCCTGGTATGGATGGATTTAGTGTTTGTACAGGTAGATATGGTGTGGCACTAGTCTAGCTCTCCATCTAGTTAGCTATATCCTCCAATGGCAACTTAGAAAATAGCTAATACCAGCGAGCAAGCAAGAACTGAACAATACTGCAAAAGCAGTACCGCTAAAGTTAGAGAATTTAATTCAAGTTAACTGGAAATTTTCAGATTAACAGTGTGTCCTTTTCAACTCTAATGTATGCCCTCGCATGTATACATTTGCAGAATTTTCTAGCTAGTTAGCTGAGGATATATTTTACTAGTGAGGGGATGATATAGGGCAGGGGCACTTCAGGTTAGGGTAATGGATTTCTGGAGTGCAGTGAGAATACCCTTCCTGCTAGTCTGGCTGAGGGATATGTACTGCGTTATTACTTTGTTATTTATTTTGAAGATTCCTGGGGGACAGCACTTCCTTATATTTTCAGGAGTGAAGCTACAAGCTAGACTACTTCAGAAAAGCACTGCGTTTCCATTCATTATGAGATGATGAAAAGTACAGTCATACCTGTCATCATAAATGATAGGAATTTTAGCTTCCTGCAGCAAAGGCACACTTGATGTGTGAGCATAAGAGTGAAATAAACAAACCTGGAACAAACACAGCAGGTGGTGCTCAGCTCAGCTGGAGTCCCCCTGGTCATTTGTACCACTCTCTCCCTCTTTAGATACACAGTTAGTGATTGCACTTTCCTCGTCTGGAGAATGATCCGGCTCAAACCAACACGGTGACATTTCAGCCAATGAGGCGTTGCGCACCTCATGTGGCAGGAAGTCCCGTCCACTTAACGCACACGTCCACAACCCAATGCAGTGTGTCGGTTAATGCTCCATGGCAAATAGAATGGGGGAGCAGAGGCTACATACATCCAGTCTGGCTGGATTACCTGACTGCGTTTGCCCTGCTGAACGCTAAATGCACTTTGGTTCACACTTCAGCCAGGGAGGTAAGGGCCAGACCAAAGCTCTGAATGAACAATCATTCTACACTCACAGGAAGGACGTCAATTCATTGTGGTGGGACCTTTCAATAAATGTCAGCTCCATTAAGGCACAAAAGCACATTTAAAACTTGAATACCAAACTACTTAAGCAAAAAGAAAAAAAGAAAGAAAGTGAAGCAAATTAAAAATCTTAATACTTAAGAGAAGGCCACATTTCGAAATTCAAGTGCTTTAGTAATGAGTGATGACTGCAAATTTATGTACAAACCTTCCTGGCGAGTTTCCGGAAGGCTGATGAAGCTATTTGATTAGATGTGCTAAGTGCGTTGAGAGTAAACATCAAAAAAGTTGTGTTCTTTTCTAATGCTCTGAATGTGATGCATTTGACATGCCTGAGTGCCTCTGCTGATGAAGTGCAACAGATGGCTTGACGCAACTACTGTAAGCTTATTGGACGGAATGTAGGGGGTGGGAGGGGCTCATCAGTGCCTCGTTGAATCAGTTAGTCCTCCAAGATCAGAGGAAGAAGAAGCCTGTTTCGGGGCGGCAGATAGCTGCTGCAGTAGAGGTGGGAGGAGAGGAAACCGTGAGCAGGGAAAGGAGGGCATCCCATAGGGGACTCCCCCTCTCTCTTTACGGGACGGCATATGGAAAGGGATAAGTAGGAGTAAGAGCTGAGGAGGCCCCTGGCAAAGCTGTGATGGACGAGCAAATGCCAGCCTGGATCCAAGCAGTGACCCCAGAGGGCGCCCACCCTCTCCAGGGCTCTGCGCATGCCTGCCAATGCGGTGTGCCGCTCTGACCTTTTCCATCACGCTTTAATCTTCCACTTTATCTCTCAATTTAGATAATAATTACTTTGTTTAAATAGCTGCTCTGGACCAGAATGGCGATGGAATCCTTCCAAACAAGACTGACTCGAGTGGAGGTCAGGGTTACATGGTAGACATCTCAGCACAGCTCATATTGTGTGACTGCTTTATGCAGAGCGGGGGAAAACTCAGGAGAGAAGTCAACAGAATTTCTCTCAGTTTTAACCTACAGACATTACTGTAAGGCACCATGACAGCCATTATGGGATGCACTGTTATGCTACATACATTACATTATGTTATTGCCATTTAGGAGGATCTCTTATCCACAGTGACTTACACATAGTCGGTTACAATTTTTTCAACTTATACCGCTGGATATTTACTGAGGTAATTGTGAGTTAAGTACCTTGCCCAAGGTTATAGCAGCAGGGAATTGAACCAGCAACCTTTTGGTTACGAGCCCTGCTCCACTACACCACACTGCTGTCCATACATAGTTTTACACAGGCACTTATGGGCTCACAAGCACACACAATCTCTCAAGAAAATCTCAATGATGAATTATTATGAGCCTCAAGTCCTTTCAAAATGACCCATTACTTAAGAACGATGCTTAAGCACATTTTTTTCATTCAAGGGACAATACAGAATATGCTTAAGATCATCTGTCTTATTTTCCCTCTTCCTATTGGTTATGCTACTTTATCAAAGGCCGTATTTTATGCAGACCTGACACTGAATGTGTAATTCAAGTGGGTTGTAAAATTACAGTACAAAAACTGACCAAGAGAAGGCTGATATGCCCTAAAACACCCTGAATAGTTTACTTTGCCCATGGGAGATGTAGAGGGGGACAGGATGCACTTCTAATCCTGAAGAATAGCACTGTACTCTGTGAACCTTTTCCTAATGTCCAATCTGCAAGTTAAATCTCACAAGATTTTTATGGTTTGGTTTGAAAATGATGGCTTGTGTTTCAGGCCTGTGCTGGCATCAGCAGACTGGCTTTCCACTATCAAATTTTACCCTTTCACTTACTGGTTTGTAAAAGCTACATTTTTTAGCATTTGTCTTTAGCAGTATAACTT